ATTTATTTCAAACTTTAGTGGAATTATCAACTGAAGTGTAACAGGGCAGAGCTCTACGGTTTTTGCTGCCGTTATTCTCTGCTATTGTGGTTGTTTCCCGTTCATTTTTCCTGTCTTTCTGCTGTTGTAGACGTACGGAGATGATGATGCGGAGTGAATGCGCTGAGTAGGGGGAGAAGAATAAAGAAACCGGTGTTTTCTGCTTCTGTAAGTTAATAGCTTGACAGCAGAATATGCGGAAAAAAACGAACAAAAAACCTTTCGGTCGTTGCTCCGTATGTTGTTTCAACAACAGTTCAATTTATAAAGTCAACTTTTGCCTCCACTTGCTTCTCATCACTTCTGTCAAAAATAGTGTGCCGAAATTTTAAAATTAATAGACGAAAAATAAATGAAAAAAAAGTTAGTCTTTTTGCCATTAAAATAAAGAATTTGCAGGTTTTTTTTTTTTTGTTTAATACGAACACAAAATACTTTTTTGAAAATTTTTGTCTTTGTCAATTTCTTCACTTCAATTATTGTTGTTTTTCCGCTTTTTTTTTTTGCTTTGAATTTTTATGCGTGTTGTTTTTTTTTACAAAAATGTCCAAATTACTTAAATTATTTTCATGAGCTTCAGCAGAAAATAACTAAACAAAAAAAAAAAAAAAAAAAAAAAGAAAAATTTGTCAGAAATATCTGCTATTTCTTCTTCTTTTTCTTCTTGTTGCTATTTCTTCCGATCTAGAAGTTTAGTCTTTAATCTAAATTACTGTTGTACACCTAGTTTTATAAGTAACTAAGCTTGACACGTTAAGGTCTTAAAAACTATTTTTGTAAATTTATTTGCTGTTTCTGAAAACATTAATTTTTTCTTCCTTAATCCTCCAGATTACTTTACTTATCTATTTCTATGCTCCAAAAATTAAGTTAAAACCTAAAACTAGGACAGGACAGAATTTATGCACAAACTTTTATAAGTGTCTGATAGAATAAAATGTATTAGATGTATCATTGTATTCACTAAGTGAAAAATAGGGCGTATCCCAGTTACTGCAGTGAAGAAACATAAAATTTCTTTCATTAACTAAAGTATAAAACAAAACAAAAAAAACGACAAAAAAGGTTATAAATCAGCAAAGACAGATTACTTCTGATATTTTTATGGTTATAAAACATATGAAACAATAAAAGAGGAAGAAAATGGTTAAAATTTTAAATCATTACATTATAATTATTTCTCAACAGGCAAAAAAGGAGAGAAAAGGCGAAAGAAAAAACAGAAAATTTTCTTTTTCTTAGATAAATGTGAATTAACTGGAGATCAAATGAAGTTTAAAAAAACGAATAATGATCATTTTGCTAGCTGTAAAAAATCTTTGCAAGCGGGTAGCGACTGTACTATTCTAAGCAAAACCGTTACAGGCGACAAACCTTCGAGAGCAAAAAAACCGATTAAAAAATTGTCAAAAAACAAAAAAAACATTTGAAAACGGAACATACAGATTATCACTGATGCGAGAAATTAAACGTCTTCTTTCCTGGAAATACAAAGTTAGAGAGAAAAAAAACAATAAAAGTTTGAAAAATTGGGAAGTGCATTTGAGCACTCTAATATATAACAAAAGAAACGAAAAAGAAAATGAACAAATAAATCGTTGATGATTAACCAACTAAAACAAACTTTATAACACTGAAGAGATGGTTTCACCTTTTTACGTTGTTAAAAAAAAGCTGTGTAAATAATGAGAAAGATGTGTTTTATAATATCATATTAAAAATTC